AAAAACTTCACAAATTACTATTAGGTTTTGATACATTTTCAGAGCACTGAAATTGGTATTTTTTGTCAATACATCCGCCTCCTTTAAGTCAGAGCACTTCATTTTTTCTCATGTGCCCAGTGTGTTTTACTGTAGTAGAATGTCGTACAATGGAAAGCATAAATTAATAAAACAGAGACTCTAAGTGAAAATGAAATAGCTATTTGTTATTAGAAAACTCAGATTAGTATAAATGCTTTAATTTCAGTTTTTGTAACATTTGTCTTCTCATAGAAGTTTTTGCACATCTTTTATAACATATAACTTAAAAAGGATCACATTAGTGCATTTGATTTCAATTATAGACCTGAAGAATGGTGTTGAATGTAAACAAAATCTTATTTATTGAAAAATGTTCAACTCAGTTTGTCTAATTCCCAACTTTTACACATATTCTATGAATATCGCCTTCATCTGTTTTCAAAATAGACTCTCCCCTCCCCCTGCAGAATGTCTCTGAGTTATAGTTGTTTGCTTATTTTTGTTTTGTGTTGTTGTATTTTTTGTTGTTTTATTGTTATTACTTGTTCCCAGGTCCCTTATTGGGTTCCTCTACATCCCTCCTATATGTGAAAGAAACATCTGACATTGTTCTTTTTTCTTCTGTCTTATTTCACTGAGCATAATCCCTTTTAGCTCCATCCTTGTTTCTGAGAATGGCATAAATTTATTTTTTTTTTTTATTCTGACTAATGTTACATGTATATACACCACATCTTCTTGAGCCAGTCAACTATTTTTGGGCATTTGGGCTGTGTATGAGTCTGTTTATATTAAACATCAATTAATGGCAAAGTCATAGCTAAAGAAAGTGGGCTGGAGGTTGCCAGGGACTTGAGGGGAGGTGAGAAGAGGAAATGACCATCAAGTTGGTTTAGTGCTGCCTTTTGGGTAATGAAAGCTTTCTAAATATTGAGAGTAGTGATGGTTAAAAACTGAATATTCTAAAATCTTAGATTTATGCTCTCTGAACAGACTGCATTTCTTTATTTTTTAAAGATCTGTTTATTTGTGCATGCAAAACTGGTGTGTGGGACAGAGTTGTGGGGTAGGAGGGTGAGATTTTCACCAGAGATAGAGTGTGAAGCTGTGCCATGTGGGTGAGCTCCCTAGTGAAGGACAGGGCTCAGGGCTTAGCTGTGACAGCGCTGAGACTTAACCTGAAAAGAGGATTCTTTGCTTGCTAT